CAAAACAACCTTCCTGACAAATTTCCAGAATATTTTGGATGAAAACTGCAGCCCACTAGAGTGTTAACAAACTTTTTCTATTGTTAGTCCTGTGACCTAGTTTTTGACCGGAGATGACCCATCTTCGAACTTGACCTAGATATTATCTAAGCAACCTTCCTGACAAATTTCCAGAATATTTGGATGAAAACTGCAGCCACTAGAGTGTTAACAAGCTTTTTCTATTTTTAGCTCCTGTGACCTAGTTTTTTGACCAGACATGATCCATCTTTAAACTTGACCTAGATATTATCTAAACAACCTTCCTGACAAATTTCCAGAATATTTGGATGAAAACTGCAACCTATAGAGTGTTTAACAAGCTTTTTCTATTTTTAGCTCCTGTGACCTAGTTTTTTGACCAGACATGACCCATCTTCGAACTTGACCTAGATAAATCAAAACAACCTTCCTGACAAATTTCCAAAATATTTGGATGAAAATTGCAGCCACTAGAGTGTTAACAAGCTTTTTCTATTTTTAGCTCCTGTGACCTAGTTTTTGACCAGACATGATCCATCTTCAAACTTGACCTAGATATCATCTAAACAACCTTCCTGACAAATTTCCAGAATATTTGGATGAAAACTGCAGCCTATAGAGTGTTAACAAGCTTTTTCTATTTTTAGCTCCTGTGACCTAGTTTTTGACCGGAGATAACCCATCTTTGAACTTGACCTAGAAACCATCAAAACAACTTTCCTGACAAATTTCCAGAATATTTGGATGAAAAACTGCGGCCACTTGAGTGTTAACAAGCTTTTTCTATTTTTAGCTCCTGTGACCTAGTTTTTGACCGGAGATGACCCATCTTCGAACTTGACCTAGATATCATCAAAACAACCTTCCTGACAAATTTCCAAAATATTTGGATGAAAACTGCAGCCACTAGAGTGTTAACAAGCTTTTTCCACTATTTTTAGCTCCTGTGACCTAGTTTTTGACCGGAGATGACCCATCTTCGAACTTGACCTAGATATCATTAAACAACCTTCCTGACAAATTTCCAGAATATTTGTATGAAAACTGCAGCCTCTAGAGTGTTAACAAGCTTTTTCTATTTTTAGCTCCTGTGACCTAGTTTTTGACCCGAGATAACCCATCTTCGAACTCGATCTGTATTTCATTGAGACAAACATTCTGACAAAGTTTGATGATGATCCAATCAAAACTGTGACTGCTAGACTGTTAACAACCCAATTATTAGAGTGTTAACAAGCTTTTTCTATTTTTTAGCTCGTGACCTAGTTTTTTGACCAGAGATGACCCATCTTCGAACTTGACCTAGATATCATCAAAACAACCTTCCTGACAAATTTCCAGAATATTTGGATGAAAACTGCAGCCTCTAGAGTGTTAACAAGCTTTTTCTATTTTTAGCTCCTGTGACCTAGTTTTTGACCCGAGATAACCCATCTTCGAACTCGATCTGTATTTCATTGAGACAAACATTCTGACAAAGTTTGATGATGATCCAATCAAAACTGTGACTGCTAGACTGTTAACAACCCAATTGTTAGAGTGTTAACAAGCTTTTTTCTATTTTTAGCTCGTGACCTAGTTTTTGACCAGAGATGACCCATCTTCGAACTTGACCTAGATATCATCAAAACAACCTTCCTGACAAATTTCCAGAGTATTTGGATGAAAACTGCAGCCTCTAGAGTGTTAACAAGCTTTTTCTATTTTTAGCTCCTGTGACCTAGTTTTTGACCCGAGATAACCCATCTTCGAACTCGATCTGTATTTCATTGAGACAAACATTCTGACAAAGTTTGATGATGATCCAATCAAAACTGTGACTGCTAGACTGTTAACAACCCAATTGTTGACGACGAACGACGCACAACGCACGACGCACGACGCACAACGCACGACGACGGACGCCGGACATAGCCCCATCACTATACCTCACCATGACCACTTCGTGGTCAGGTGAGCTAAAAATTGCAATGTATAATTCAATGTCGGCCATGTTGGACTATTACGTAGAGATTACGTAGTGAATGCAAGGGATAGTTCTTTATTTGATTGCGCATAAAAAGGAACACGTTATCCTATTAACTATTTTACTTTCGATATTAGCGCACGATAGCTTATAAATATTTCTAAAAATCATTTGTTGAGGCTGTGACAAAAATTAATTTCGGTGTTAGGTTGAGTGCATTTCAGTTCTTACATAAACTCGTTTAAAATACATTTCTAGCTACCATACAGTATAGATCTATATGATAATCAAAATTTATCGCTAAACGATCTACATGTAGCTAAAGTTGTTAAAAACCTAAAATGATTACAGTACGATGTTTTAATAAAAATTTAGAAACGTTTTCATTTTGCGTGCGTTTTAGCGTGCGTATATCGTTTAGCGTATTTCGTTTAGCGTATATCGTTTTGCGTGCGTCTGCGTATTTCGTTTCGTTTTGCGTGCGTATAACGTGCGTTCGTATAGCGTGTAACGTGCGTTCGTATAGCGTGTAACGTGCGTTTTGCGTGTAAACTGACACGTTCACCCTACTGTATGTGTTGACGTGCCGTAAAAATTCAAACAAACAAACAAACTATTGCCCATTGTTCATTTTTACACTTTGAACTTTGTCCGGGACATAACTCTGTAACTATAAGAGGTATAAAAATGAAAGACTCAAATCGAGTCTGCAATTCTGATGTAATTTTGTTGTGATTAATGCTTCAGAGGGATCACTTTGTTTCCAGATTTGTGTAGGAAGATAAATCTCATTAGGCTTAAAAACCGTAACCCTGCTTTGCCTAATTTTGGTGTTATTGACTTCAGATCCCCTTTCAAAATTCCATTTTATTTAGTTCCGCCCATTGCTTTCTCTTTTAGGGCAAAAGCATTCTTTTACTTGTGGACCATACGCCGCTTTTCATGGAATGGCACTTCTGTGTCATATTGAAGGTTCCATGATAACCGCCGTATGAAAACATCTGCGGATGTTTCTAAATTCAAAATTTCACCATTTTCGTGTTAAATTCTGCTTAAGCCGGTGCTAGGGGGCGTGGACGGTAACTTACACTTTCCAGTACCGTCCATGAACAGGCTCAATCAAACCGAGCCTGCAACATTTTCAGTTGGACTTTCTTTAGGGATTTTGTTTTTCTCTATTTGTTCATTGTCACACTTTGAAGTTTGTCCGGGACATAAATTTGAAACTATAAGAGATATCAACATGGAACTAAGTCGGTTGATATATATCTTTGGGTTAAAGTGCAGTGTAAAAAGAACCATTACTTTGTTTTCCCCAATTTTGGAGTTATTGTCATTATGTTCATTTTATGACTTTGAACGGGACAAAACTTTGATACTATGAGAGATATCAACATGGAACTTTATACGTAGATATATCTCATTAGGTATGCGGAGAAAAGAACCATAACTCTGACTTATCTAAATTCGGAGTTATTACCCTTTGTTCAATTTTACACTTTGTCCTTGACATTACTGTAAAACTACAAGAGGTATCAACAAGAAACTAAGTCGGCAGATATATGTCATTGAGTAGAAGTGCATTGCAAAGATCAATAAAATATGATAAACAAGATCAACAAGGAAAGACGGCGTCCAATGAACGCAACCCCCACACGACCCAGAAACAAGAAGCCCAGGATGACCTCCTCCAAAACAGGACAAGGCGCAAGGGAGAGCACAGACAGGCTTATCACTGAAATTCTGATTGAAATGTCCACTAATCAAAAGGGCACAGGGGGGATAGGGAAGGAAGAAAGGTGCCTTGCCAAGTTTTGGACTTATTTTACTTTGAAATGTGTTCGTGACAGAACTCTGAAACTACAAGAGGTATACTTTTCTGTGTCAAAACCTATTCGGGAAGCATCACCCGGTCCAGCCGGCTCTTGCAGAGTTATTGTTAAGGACCGACATCAAGCAGAATATTAATCTATTTTTAGTCTTATATCAAACACCTTTAGTTGTGTCTTGTTAACATACCACTGCAGACTGCAAACTTAGTTTAATTATTGGACGCAAGCAGCTGTCAAAGTCACTGAGCACCGGTTGTAAGAGAATACAACGCGAAATTGTATTTGCAAAGTGTATGAAAGAATACAAATTTTCATAATTATTGCGCTTTTGTGTCTTAAGTGTTATTTTGTCACGGTATGGTGTAAAAGTATATTAAGCTGTCAACTCATAATGGTATGTCAGCTTTCTTCGGCACGAACGAAAATGTCTTAAATGTCTTTTGGGGTTTTGAGCCATTTGCTGCAGTTTCTAACATTCAATACTAATAGCCTGTTTTTCATTATTTTTAATTGTGTTTTACTAAAACCTTTTGTTTGAGACCAATCGTGCCAATGGAATAAGTAAAAGAAAGAGCATCGAAACACGAGGTTATCTGATTTGTACGAGGGAGCGTAGCCCTCGATCATTTTTCAGATTGCCGAGTGTTTTGATGTTCTTTCTCTTTTGTATTATAGTCAAACATAAAAACACGTTCCTTGTTGTCACAATATGAAACCCCAGAAAAAAGGAACCAATAACGAGCATCTGAATATTAGGGCTGGGGCGAGTATCCGAGTACTCGGATAATCACGAATCAAAATGAAAAATCGAGTACGGATATTCGTCAGTCCAGAGATCGTGGATCGCGATCTTATTTGTTTATATACATTCACTGTTTTTCACATTTTAAAATTCGATAAAAATAATAACAATTTAACTATGAATTATGCGACATTTACCTCAATACAATTTGCCGATTAAAAACAGGAAGTAAACAAACAAATTCCATGATGCTGAGCTAGGAAGTCATTAGTTTCGGAAAAAGAATCACTTTATCTTTGTTGAGCACTATGTTTTTACATGAAAATTGATTTTAAGTTGGTATATATAAAGTTATAATAATCATCATAAACATGTATCGAATACTGTTCTATTTTTAATAATCCAATTTTGCGAAACTCAAGTTCATAATTACGTCAGCATGACGTCACACATCAAGTCTGCAACAATGTCGGAGTCGCGACGATACAGAAATCCGCCAGCTAAATTTACCTCTAATGTGTGGAAATATTTCGGTATCTCAATAGAGAATGAAAAAAAGGCTGTTTGTAAAACATGCCAAGGTGAAATGACATATACCGGCGGAACAACAAATCTGTCTAATCACATGAAAAGGCACCACGGAATCGACCCTATTTCGAAAGGTAATTTTTGCTCTTTTAAATATTCTAAATAACTTAATATTTTTTTATGTTAAAAACTAAACTGAGTCCTGCATATCCTATTTTCATTTATTGTTTTATATTTTGTTTATTCATTCATAATATCTTTGACCAAGTGAACTTTATAAACAAAAGCTAAAAAGAGAACTGTTGAACAGTATATAATTTTATTTATGCTATATATTGCCCGCGAAAGAACATTTCATTTTAACATTAAACCGGAATATCAAACGTATATTATACTGTAAAATAAATGAAATTTAATTTTAAAGCGTGTTTTGCATATTTTTTGAACTTTTGAATAACAGAACAGAACATTATTAGTACAGAACTTAAACAATATACTCCATATGAGTGACAATCTGACAATGATTACATTTACATAGTTATTAAATGTACAATGTAAATATTGGAAACATTTATAATAATGAAAGTGTATACTGTATAACAAGTTTATAAATAAATAAATAAATTTATAAATTAATAAATAAATCTATGAAAATTTATAAATAAATAAATAATCTAAATCTATTTTCTTTTAAAGGAGGTGTCAAATTACAAACGTCAGCAACAGAGGCATCTACAAGCACAAGCTGTGTAACTGCTAGCATATCTCCAAGCAATCCCTTTCACATGGCACAAAGAGTGAAGTTGGCTCCATCCAAAGTTCACAGAATAACTGTAGGTATTGCCCGATATCTTATAGATGATATGCGCCCATTCAGCACCGTAGAGAGTTCAGCTTTCAGAAGCATGATACACGAGTGTGAGCCTCGCTACAAATTCCCATGCATACAAACATTTAGTGAAGACGTAATTCCAAGACTGTATGATTCTGTAGCCTCACGTATTAAAGGCAAATTATTGAGTGCAGAAGCTATAGCCTGGACCTCAGACAGCTGGACAAGTCGAGCCACCCAATCATATGTGACTATCACAGCCCACTTCATTGACTCTGAAATGGAACTCTGTTCTCGTGTTCTTCAGACAAGGCAGCTACCAGAATCCCATACTGGAGAACATGTTGGAAACGTGCTTCGCCAAGCACAGCTTGAATGGGGTTGTCAGGTATGTGCCCTTACTACAGACAATGCTGCAAACATGAAAATTGCTGCACATACAGCTGGAATATCCATCCATATTGGATGCTTTGCCCATACCTTAAATTTAGCATCTTCCCGCGCACTTGATATTAAAGAGGTTCATCATATTTTGGCTAAGATCCGGTCAGTTGTTTCCTTTATGCATCGGAGTACCACTGCCGCTGCTCTGCTTAAAAAGAAGCAAAAAATGCTACAACTACCTGAGAACAAACTCATCATCGATGTCAAAACCAGATGGAATTCGAGTTATCTCATGGTGGAGCGCTTCCTTCAGCAGCAACTTGCCATTTTAGCCTGTCTCTCAGATGAAAGTATTAAGAAGCAACATGAAGCCAAATCCCTACAGGCTAGTAGTGTACTTGGGCAAGATGAGGTTCGATGCTTGGAGATATTCTTACAGTTAATGGAGCCTATGTATCAAGCTACCCTGGCGCTATCTGCTGACCAGCACCCTACGGTAGGGCTTATGTATCCATTGCTCCTGAAACCTAAGAAGTTGTATACCCATATGGAGGGAGATACTGCTTTTCAGCAGAAAATCAAGAAGGCTATACTTCAAGACTTAGAGAAAAGGTACATAAATGATGTTCTGTTAGAGTACCTTGAGGAAGCAACAGCATTGGATCCCTGGGTAAAGTACAAAATAGATTAATACAGAATCCCTAAAGAAAGCCCAACACGGCAAAATTGAAAATGTTGCAGGCTCGGTTTGATTGAGCCTGTTCATGGACGGTACTGGAAAGTGCAAGTTACCGTCCACGCCCCCTAGCACCGGCTTAAGCAGAATTCAACATTTAAACGTGAAATAGTAAAAATTTTGAATTTAGAAACATCCGCAGATGTTTTCATACGGCGGTTATCATAGAACCTTCAATGTGACACAGTAGTGCCTTTCCATGAAAAGCGGCGTATGGTCCCCAAGTAATAAAAAGCGTGTGCCCTAAACGAAAAAACAATGGGCGGAACTAAATAAAATGGAATTTTGAAAGGGGATCAGAGGTTATGAAGCCTGCGTATCACAGATAAGACGTCAAAAGACAAAGCCCCATTAGCTGTTTGGGACAGACTTAAGGATAAACTGATGGCTTTGCCTCCACACCTGCCAATTAAGGTAAAATCTGAATTAGAGGAACCTTCGATACAGACAGACTTACCACCATTGCCAGCTCTCCCAAGCCAGCTAGACTCGGCGGAGCCTAAAACGAGGACCCAGTTTTATCTCCTGCAAAAGAAAATGAGATCTGGTCTTAGTTTCCTGATAGATGATGATGATATTGAAATTTCAAAGGTGGAGCCACCTCTTTCCAATGAAGAGCTTATTTGCAAGGAAATTGAAATGTACAAATGTGAGTCAAAAGTGCTATCCTTTGAGGATCCCTTGAAGTTCTGGAAGGGCATTGCTGTCAGGTTACCTCGTCTTTCTAGGCTCGTAAAGTATTACCTGTGTGTACAAGCAAGTTCTGTTGCTTCAGAACGTATATTTTCAACTGCTGGAGATATTGTTACAGCAACTAGGTCATGTCTTGACCCTCAGTGTGTTGATCAATTAATTTTTTTGAAAAAAAAAACTTTAATGAAACCAAGGACATTGCTTCCATTCTTCATAACATGTAAATTTTAGGGGCTGACTGGTGAATCTGGTTTAAGTCATAAGTATGGTTGTTGACTATCTATGGCAGTTATTTTTCAGATATCACAATATCACCATATAGGTTTCTCAGATGTACACTTATGCAAAGAATAAATAAATAAAACCCAGTTTATATTGGCAAATATGTTTTATTTTCTATATGTTTTAAGAAAAATAAACATGTTTTTAAGAACCAATGTTCATGTTTTTATGGGTGCCTTGATAACAAAAGATTCGTGGTTCGATTTGTGATCGTTAGTGCTGAATCGTGGGTCGGATCGGATCGTCACTTATCCGACGATCCACACCCCTACTGAATATGATATATATGTCGCTTTCCCTTAATAAGTAAACCCCAACAAAAATGAGCCTATCAATGGGCATGCTCTGGAGTGCGGGTAACTAATACCTGTACTCCACTTTACGCACTGTGCATGTATATGTATACGAATTTACTCCGTCACATTTTCAACAAAAAGGTCCCTTGATAGAAAAGATAATTATAATAATGTTTGTTTTTTTTAAATAAGTTTTTATTGCGCTTTTGTGTCGTAGGTGTTGTTGGCAATATTTCTTTTATAACAAGATTTATCACAAAAAGTTTATGTTTTGTCCTTTGTTGAAAAAAAGAAAAGTTGTAGTTAGTTCAATGACTATGACTTTATGTACACATATAATCTTAAATCCGTTTAACATCATATTGTATGCAAGCCAGTGTTAATAAAGATTGTCACACTTGATCGTCATGAAAACTTCTAGAGTTTATTTTGAGTTTCCAGTCATATTATATAACGTCAACTACATAATACAGGTCGTTTGTTTCTTAAGAAGTCTGTAACATTAAGAGAGTAGTTTCAAAAATGAAAGAAATTGTGATACAGACACTAATAGATTAATTCTATTACTTGTTTGTTTGTTTGTTTCATTTTACACCTTTTCCCAACAGTATTTCAGTCATATAGGCGAATTATATAACAAATATATATTATAAAAATCACAGCACCATTTGAGGACATGTGTAATACTTGAATGAGTTTTTGTAACAAGTCTTTTGAGCTATATCTTAATCTTATGGAATGTTGATATTAAAATCTCCCAGACAAAGTCATTAACAAGATACGTATATGCTTCATTTAGTTATTGTCTTGTAATGTCTTAACTCGAAAGAAATGATGTAATAATACGGCTTTGGAAAGTGCAATTATTATATTAAAGATCCTGTATGTTGTAATTGAGGTTGTATACCCCACATAAGTGAAATTATATATTTCAAATATCGAAGAATTTGAAAAATATGTACTACAAACATTTGTACATATTATAATTTATGTAATCATTAAAATATATCCATTCGTTTCTTATTAAAAAATGTGACTAAGACTTTATAAAAAATAATTTTTTATTACCTCCCTACATTTGCATGAAATGTTAAATACGGTAATATCTTTATAAATATTGCTTTTTGGAACTTACTAAATTGATAAATCTTAATTTGAGCATCATATTTATAATATAAAACCATAAGAAATTTTTGTTACAAGATATTTAAGACCTTTTATCAAGGTCATATGTACTACAAATATTTGTACATATTATATGTAATCATTAAAATATATGCATCATTTTGAAAAATTTGACTAAAATAGATAAATAAAGAATCCCTAAAGAAAGCCCAACACGGCAAAATTGAAAATGTTGCAGGCTCGGTTTGATTGAGCCTGTTCATGGACGGTACTGGAAAGTGCAAGTTACCGTCCACGCCCCCTAGCACCGGCTTAAGCAGAATTCAACATTTAAACATGAAATGGTAGAAGACTTTATAAGACTTTATAAAAAATAATTTTTTATTACCTCCCTACATTTACATTAATTGTTATATACGGTAATATCTTTATAAATATTGCTTTTTGGAACTTACTAAATTGATAAATTTTAATTTGAGCATCATATTTATGATATAAAACCATAAGAAATTTTGTTACAGGATATTTCAGACCTTTTCTCAAGGTCATCATGTCTTGAATAACAACAGATCCGTTTCAAAAAGACTTTTATTATTCTATCTTAGTTTACACAAATATCAAAGATAAAACACATCATTTAAAGGTAATTGTTGTTTTTATTTACTCTTTTTACGCCAACTTTAGAGATTATTATTTTCTCTATTTTATCTTATCTTTTCTGTAGTATCTCGGCAGACAAAGAACCTAACAAGCTTATCGGAATAACTAACAAGAAATTACAAATTTCTTAGAAAGTGACCAACTACATATCTCACAAAGTTTCAGAATCAGCGACAATGGCGAAAATAAATTTCCATTTTTTTTGTCAAGCAAAATAAGTTAAATGAACACATTGAACAAATATAAAACAAGTTACTCTTTTTGTGATGCATTGTAGGATTTTTGAAAGGCATTCATTGAATTTCAGTAAAAAAATCGCTTAATTAATTGCAAAAATGGGACAAACGAAGCGGATATTACCTGCCAAATAAGACGTTTTACAATCTTTAGAAAGCGTACACGTATAGTTGTAAATTTGGGAGTTTTAGACGTTCTTTAGAGATTCCTGTTGATTTAGTATATCTATGGTGTATATATATCAGCCAACTCTAAGATTTGAAATTAATTCTATGCAAATACATGGCTAATTTCTCTGACTTTCTTAAGTGGCAAATTCTACAATACAATTATAACTTTATCATTCTTTGATACATTATACTTGATATAACTGACCCACCGAGCGATAAGACATTTGTGGGGCGTCCGTGGCCGAGTGGTTAAGGTCGTTGACTTCAAACCACTTGCCCCTCACCGCTGTGGGTTCGAATCCCGACAGGGACTTTGGATTCTGTCATGTGGGGGAGCTATCCAGCTAGCTTACGGAACGTCGGTGGTTCTACTCAGGTTCCCGTTCGTGCCTGAAAAAATGCACGGAGGGGCACCTGAGGTCTTCCTCCATCAGTAAAGCTGGAACGTCGCCAAATGACCTATACTGTGTCGATGTGACGTAAAACCCAAATCAAACAAACGATAAGAAATTTAATGAGAAATTATTTAATGAAATTAAAGTAAATATGAAGCGGCGACTGTATTCTTAATCTTTGTATGTTTTCCTTTATTCGGATAATTCAGATTATACTGAACTCCCATGTGTATATCTAATTTCGTAAATTATTGTGCTCAGAAGACACATATATATATTTCCACATTGAATAGAAAGTTCTAAATGAAGAATGTGCCAACACACCGGATTTCAGCTGTCTCTCTATTTGAAACATAATTTATATTAAAACTAGACACATTTGCATGAGTTTAACATATATTTTTACTATATCTTTTTTATGTACTCTGATGATGAATATTCATACACAATTTACAAGGTTTGTCTCGAAATAATATGGTTGGCCAGCGCTACGTGGACGAGGAACTCCCTTATCAATATTTTCTTATACTTTAAGTTATAGTTATTAAACTCTAGTGTAACGTGCTTTTCATTCAATTCTTGTGCACTTCAAAAAACAGTATTTTCACTTGTACCTATGCCACTCGTGAGAATACTGTATTTAAAGCTCACTCGATGAAATATAATTTCATCTTACACATAAGCTAACAAATATCCTCTATATATCCGGGGATGACTCTGTGCTGATATAGGTCGGGATATCCTTTAACTCTAATACCCCTGTCATCTCTCTCAACGGAAATCTTAATGAGCAACAATACCAAGACGACGTATCATTTCCAATAGCAATTCCTCAAATTATACAGATGCAAGGAAGAAACTAATTCAGGATCGAGGAACAAGTCATACGGCTAAGACCGTTCTCTGGAGATACGGCGTAAACGTTCTGAATTGAGTGTCAACGGCACCAGACTGAAACTCTCTTTAAGACTATGGAACGACCATGCTGTTCCTTTAGGATATAAACGGGAGTTTCAGCAAATTATTCTGCGAGAATGGTTTATGATTAATCAAGCATACATACAAACATTCATTCCGATGATAAGAAGTTATTTATG